AGGGAAAGGGTTGACATGTCCTGGGGCTGTTAACCAATGTCATAAAACAATATGTGTACTGACTTTAATGAGAAACTATTTGTTCTGTAAACTTTCACCTAAAGTACAACAACAACAACAAAAAAGTAAATCACTAGGCCTTTCTCCCAAGACACCTCTGGCTGGACTTGAACCTCCAGCCTTTCAGCAGCCAAGCATGTTAACCATTTGTACCACCCAGGGACTCCATATACTACATAAGAAACATACTCTCTAACACAGGCGGTTGGCAAACTTTTTCTCAAGGGCCAGATTGTGAATATTTTAGGCTTTGTGGGCTGCTTCACAGAGCAGAGTTTTTCTGTTACCTACTTTGTAAGCTCTCTTCTCTTTCTCTCCATTGGTGCTAATCTAACCTATCCTTTTCCCTAATCATCATTCATTCTTCTTTCCTACTACTCTGGTCATTCCACCCTTGTTATCTAGTAGAAAAACCAAGTAATCACAACATTATCTGGTGTGGTCTTTGGCCTTTCTTAACTATTTTTAATTTTGTTTTCTACTCAGGGGAGTTTCTGCTTCTCTGGTTTTAAAAAAAAAATAGGGGAGGAGATGGAAGGAGTAGAAGGAGGCTTTATTTACAGTTACGGCAATATTCCAAATCTTTGAGGGGTCTGGAAAGATGATCCCTAGATTATACATATTTTTTAATTATTTGCTTCACCTTACCCTGGTGGTGCAATGGTTTAAGTGCTCTGCTGCTAACCAAAAAGTTGGGGGTTTGAACCCACCCAACGACTCTGTGGGAGAAAGACCTGGCAACCTGTTTCTGTAAAGGTTACAGCCAAGAAAACCCCATGGGACAGTTCTACTCTGTTACATGGGGTCATTATGAGCTGGAATCAACTCAACGGCACATAATAACAACAACATACTTTACAATAATATACTCAATGTAGAAGCTAAGCTATTCAAATACATAAACAAATAAATGAAACATATTTAAGTAGTCTGACCACAGAAATCTCATTTTTTCCCTTTTACTTTGTGGCTGACTGTATTTATGTTCACCTTTCTCAGGCTTTTTTATTTGTATCTTTAAACACAGTATAGGTCCTAGAACTCTTCATATGGAAGCCATATTATCATATAATGAAAGTACCTACAAGCTTTTCATCAAAATCTTTTATCTAAATATGTTACACATTAGCCTATCACCTTCTGATTTTCTTTAAGTTATTCTTTTGTTTCTTATAAATGGAAACGTGCTGAACTTTTATGAATTATAAATAGGATACAGTAAAATCAGAATAACTAAAACAGGAAGTATCAAAATGTATATTTTAATCTCTCTTAGCAACTGACATATATGAGACTAGTTAGGACTACTTGGATACTGTCATTAGAACATTAAAAAAGTAACCAAAATTAGAAAACACCTGTTCATTCATGACACTTTCAGAGCACAAGTGCTTTGGTATTTAAAGTATTCACTTACAGTGACCCAAATTCAAGAGGAACCCGTCAGTACTACACTTAAAAGTAATGACAAAAATGTCACTACATATAATAAGTAGTATAAAATAGCCTCAATGAGTAGAAGAAGAAAAATTTTAACGATCTCAGATTGTTTGAGTTTACACAGGAGAACTGGAGACATTAATTTTTAAAGTGAGTTGCATAAAGTCAGAGGTTGTATCTTTCAACAGATAACTGACTAAAAAAAGAGAATAGTATTTTTCAGCACAAAAGGAACAGGTGAACTTTCAGATATACAAGTTTTAAAAAGAACCAAGCCTCTTGTTCTTTATTTTAAAAATATGTATCTCATAGAACTTTCCTACTTTAAGAAGAAAATAATCCACCAGAGGGGGCCCTTACAAAACAGGAGAAATAAAATGTTAAGAACAGTCAATACTATATCTGCAAAATCGAAGGTTAGAATACACCTTATAAAACAGAATCCCTTGAGGTCATGAATACCACGCAATCACATATAAAATTTTATGTCTGTCATGTTTTGAGAAACACACAATTTTCATTATTTGCAAAGATATAAAAAGCCAATACTTGTTCTTTTTTGCTTAAGCTGGTTTAAATTGGCTTTTTGACACTTGCAAACAAAAATCTCCACTGAACTAAGCCAGGAATCACAGGTTTCAACTGGAATACTGACCCTTAATATTGGCAGTGTCTGCCTGTAGCACTGTGATGAGTGAGATTCTGAGGTCTCCTCTGCACAAAGAATGCAATGAGCTAGCAATGATATATGCCATGAGCAAGGAACAGAAATATGGCAGCACACATGTCACATACTCAGCAGCCCTTAGCTGAGCAACGTCTTAGGAAATGACACTGGCATAGAAACAGAGAAGCAGTAAAAAAGCCCAGGAAGGCAAAACAGAGCAAGAAAAGTTACATCAGGAAAGAGAGGTAAAGTGCCAATAAAAAATGTCAATCAAAAGAAAAACTGGCTCAATTCGAAACACCTCTTAGTGTTCCAATTTTTCTTGGGTTTAATACTTTAAGAAAAATACTGATTTGGTTTCACATCAACAGATTCTCTATATGCTCAGCTTTCTTTATGCTTAAATATACACTGTGGATCATTCATGACTCAGGGGAAATAAAAGGTATGGTTTCGGTTCACATTTCAGCTCAAGTCTCCTGGTTCTAAGGCATTTTTTAAATTGAAATTTTTAATGAGACAATTGCAGATTCACACACCAAAACCCACAACCAAACCCGCTGCCATCGACTCAACATACAGTTGTAAAAAATAATACAGGAGATCCCCAGTGTACTATGCCTGGCTTCCTCTAATGGTAATATTTTGCAAAACTACAATATAAAATCACAACCAAGATAGTGATATTGATACAATCTATTAACCTTATTCAGATTTCCATCTAAGGCATTTTAACCAGCCAATACATCTTTGTTTTCATTCTATCAATATCTCTAAGTATTCTGTATAAAAATTCTTTTTGTCCCACAACTGTTTTTAATTAAGTCCCTCCTCTCTTAACTGGCCTTTGCTTATAATTTAAGCTCTTTATAAGGAGTTTTAGGGTTTCATGCAATTCTGTATCTGTGTATCTCAACATCCTCATTCTCTCTATACACCCATAGAGAGATTCTATTAGTTCTATTCTTAGTTCTCAAAAAATGGGCCTTTGGGTCAAGAATCCTAGAAATGAATTAACGCATGAGAGCTTAGACAAATCATTACACCTCTCAACACTTCCTTCATCTATAAAATGGAAATAACAGTAGCTACCTGAAAGGGTTGCTGAAGACCAAAGGAGAGAGTGCCTACAAAGTACTTGACCTAGTACATGGCATAAAGTAAATCCTTGCTAAACATTAACTGTAATCATTTAGTATTCACTCACCAAGACCTTTCTAGCTGCAAAATCCATCCACTCCAACTTCCTTAACATCTTAACTTACCATACTATGTCCACTTGTTCATTCATTCATTCATTCAACAATCTACTGTTTACACATAAAGAATAGATAAATCAGTTGTAGAACCCAAGTACACAATTATTAAATTACTAAAAGGTAGACAGCAACAATGCCAGAAAAAAAGTATAAAGTTCTATAGCACTTTTGGTAGAGGAAATAATACATGACCTGGCTCTTCAAGAGTTCATTCATTAGACAAATGGGAGATATGGGGCAGGAAAGGAGTGGGACATAGCATCTTCTAGAGTAAGGACATAACAGCACCAAAGGTACTAAGGATAAAAGGGAAGGCACGGACAGGAAACAGCAAGTAGGTTGGCTGCAATGAAGGATACTAGAAAAGGAAAAATGGAAAGTAAAACTAAAGACTGGTCAGGGCCAGATTGTGAAAGGCTTCGAATCCAAGTCCAGAGTCTAAATTTCATTCTGTCTACAATGAAAAGCCAAAGATTTATGAGCAGTGCAATTATATGTTCATAATTGTACATTCAAAAGATGAATGTGCTATACACGTAAAATGAATTGAAGAAATTTCTACTGTGCCAGTGTGAGAAACCTGCTAAAAGGTTGCTGCAATTAATCAGGCAGGTAGAGAAGCATGGAAAGTAGGTCTAAAGGGACAAATACTAGCACAAGTGAATCAGTAAGATTTGAAAATTAATAAAATGTGGGGAAGAAGGAACTGAAGATGATTTAGGTTTCAAGCCTCAGTCTGTGAATTACAATGAAGAAAAACAGCTCCCATATTTAACAAATCACCTAACATTTTCCTGAATTCCATACCATATTTTAATCTCTTTACTGGACTGAATATATTTTTACCTGTAGAGTGAGATAATTATCTTACAAGTACATGATATAGTAACTAATGAACACATTCAAGAAATGTGGAAGACTATAAGTATGCTGAGTGGGGTGGGGGGGCGTGGGGAGAGGTTATCATTACATTTGATATATCTTAACATGTTTATTAAAAGTAGGATTCAGGATTCCTGTAATCATTTGTTCATAAAAATAGGAACCAGGATTCCTGTATTCATATGTTCACTGGTGTATCCCCATTGTCTTAAACAGTGTCTGGTACACTGTTAGCACTCAATAAATACAGTTGTTGAATACGTATGTAGATTAGACAAGAAATAAATTATTAAATTTTAAGAAAGGTTCTATGTTGGCCTCAATGTTCTGAGAGTTCAATATTCACTTCCAATCTTTCATTTATTAAAATGAGCTTCTGCTGCTAACTCTACTTCCAAAAATCTAAATAAACTGTAATAGAATAATTAAGTAATTTTAAGTAACACTAAATTATTAACTACCAAAGGCAAAATTGTAATTTAACATATCATCAGAGAAAAAGAAAATGATATCTGAGAATTTACACACATTTTTAGGTATGATCCAGGCTGCATTTTACAGTTTGGAAAACATTACTCAGTTCACACATGTGATACTAAAAATCACCCCCTACACGTGAGAATTTAAAGACAAACATATTTGTTACTGGACAGGAAATATGAAAATTTTTCTTGCAGGGTTTACCATCTTACCAGGTCTTTCCTTCCCAGTTCCTTTTGACTCAACATATTTTTGTATCAAACTTTCAACTGTGGTGTTAGCCATGTTGTTTAGAAATTCTTCATGGACCTAGTAAAATGTAATGAAGATAATATTTTTTTCTTTTCTCACAAATATAATCAACTAAAACTCATTAAATCAAAATATGTATTTTTTAACCCAGAGGCCTTTGAGGAATTTCATTTACCTAACATGCTCAGCTACCTTACTTACAGAGTTAGTAAATTTGTGGGGACCAACTATTGCTGATATTACATAACCCCTTATGATATAGCCTCACAGCCTTAGAAGTCAAGCAGTTTCCCTTTCCCATATCTAAGTGTTTCAGAGACATACTTCTCAGAATAAATAAAACTTATATAGACAATGAAAACAGTTTTCGACTTTTAATAAGGAACAAAAGTCTTCATTTTTCTCTACTGGATTTCAGTGCACCCCAAACTGTTATCATTAAACTTTATATTTTTGGAACACTTAAAGCACAAGTGCTATAACTTACTGAATGTGCTCTAAATTTAAAAATAGTAAAACTTGAAAAAAGAAATATTCAAAAATTGGTAACTTCAGAATTTTAATGTCAACAAGACTAAGCATAGTTCATTTGAAAAATTAATTTGAATTATCACCCTAGGTGACCAAACAATAAAAAATCCAGTTTATTTTATATTTAACATATGTAAATACATACTCTTTATATAAAATGATTCAGTATCATATTACAGGCTTTGGGCATAGTGATAAAGATTTGTAATGAGCCATAAATGATCATAAAAATTTCATGAACCAGTTCAACATAAAACACTTACCTGACCTATTTGCAAATGAATTTCCTTTATAGCGTTTGACAAGGATTCTATAATTTCCTTCATGCGAATGAGATGAGTTTCTTCAATATCTTGAAATTTCTGGGTAGAAATATAAAAATTATACACAAACTCATCATACATACATATAACCTGCTGCAAGAGCTTATAGAAATCACCTCCATGTAACTAAACAAATTTGACCAGTTACCATTATTACATAATGCATAACAATGCTTCTAGGCAAATCAGTCTAGTAGAAATACTGAAATATAGTGCTGACAAAAATTAACTTTTTGTTATGGTATTTCTCAGGCAAATATGACCTTTCTCAGAGTTTGAAGATACCACAGTGATAAAATCAATTATCATCATCAGAAAACGAGAATGAGACCCAGAAGAGGATGGTATCACAAAAGACAAGAAAGAAGTGCTTCAAAAACTGAAAAACAATTAGTTGGTACAGTAAAATCACAGTTTACTTCTGAAAACTTTACAATCTAGCTCATGGATTCAAAAAATTTCTTTCTAATCCTTGAAATGCTAATACAAAAATCTCCAAAAGAGGTAATCCATGATCAGAGAAATTTGGGAAAGCCTGTACAACTGATCAAGGAAATCTGGGAAAGCCTGTACACTAAAACTCAGCAAATCTCAACCGAAAGTGGGTATGGATCAGAATCACCTGGGGAATGTTTTCAAATTACAAAATACATACAGCCTCCACTACTACAGTATTTTTATGCAAATAACACGTGTGTTATATGCTTTTTGGCCAACCGTGCAACCCCCTCACACATTATTTTCCCAGGCATGCTGTGCGCATTGCATGCGTGGGCATGTTATTTACGTGTGCACATTACTTGCAAAAATACAGTACTGTGGAAGTAGGTGAGAATGTTGTTTAAGAAGAAATTCCCAGGTTACTCTGATACTCCCCAGGGAGAAAACCACTGCTAGCCTTGGCTTCACAATTAGCATATTAAAAAGCTCTGAGAATTAACTGAAAATAATCTTATTTTACTTTGCTTAACCCAGTGTTTTCCAAATTTCCTTGACCACACAACTCTGTTCTTCTTCTTCCCTGAGCATCTATTAATACCTCACAGAACAATAATATTCCTCAAAACAAGGTTTGGAAATGCTAAACTAGCCCACTTTCTAACAAAATATATTTGTCATTTCTACCACATAAACCTAATTACCCAATTTTTTGACAAAATTACAGCAATTTAAAGGAATGGGCCTAAATGCCTTGTTGTTTTTCTCTGGTTAGTTTATCAAATTAAACTCCTTCATCCTATATTTAATGACCAAATTTCTTCACTACTGAGTTATATGAACAGAAATCATGAAGCTAAATGATCAAATCCGTATTTGTGCAAATGGCATGAACTTTAAAAAAAATCTATAATGGTGAAGTTATAGTTTTGGCAGTAATGCAACAATAGTCTGAAAACTTACATCAATTTTATTCATTAGGAAGAACAGAGCTAAAATAGAGGGCTTGTCACAAATTAATTTTGACCAAGTCAGTGAGAATTATCAATTATTTCCAGAGCCTGAATTATTCTCAAGAACTGAGGAATATTCAGCAGAAGCATGATTCTATTCTAAATTCACATTACAAGCAGTGGCTCTCAGCTTAAACTACAGCAATTTAATAAAACAATATATTTTCCCACTGATAACCAGTTAACCAGTTGCTGTTGAGCCAATCCTGACTCATGGCGAGCCTGTGTGCTGCAGAGTGGAATGGCACTCCATATAGTTTCCCAAAGTTTTACATTAGTTAAAATTTAACAAAAAAAAAAGCTCTCTAATTCTAAAATTCCTTAATCTGACGGTGCTGTTGCTGAGTAAATCTCAACGTTTCCATAAACTAGCCATCTCAATGCTTTAAAATAAACGAAATCTCCATATTCTAAGTTTTTTTCCCCAAATGTCCCATTAACTAATGGTGATAAAAAGCATGAGCATAAAAAGACATCACAGTTTGAATCATTCTTATTCCCAGCCTAAATGAAATAAACTTAAATCACAAATTCTCTGTGTAAATTCTAACCTCTTTCACCTCAGGGACCCAATTTCTTTTCCCACTAGTAAATATAGGTCCAGCCACCCAAATTAGGTTCTCACTAGACTGACAGGCTCCTGCCCCGTGGGATTAGGTCAACCTGCTTGGCCTGGGACAAAAGCAAAGGGGAGAAGTAAAAGGATTTTTCTCACTTCTAAACGCAAATGAAAGTCTACTTTCTATTAACAAACAACAGTCAAGCTGTTCTGCTGTGTGTGTTGTGCATCTCAGAGAGAGAAACGGAGACAGAGAACAAACAAGAGAACAGAAAAGAGAAAAAATAAGCACACATTATCAAGGTATACCGTTACCATCATCTTTGTTTAAAAGCAACATGGTCACACATCTGCTCAAATAAATTAATGTTCCCATCTTGAAAATGGCAAGATGAACAAGTTAAAATGCCATTTTGAAAAAAAAAAAGTAATGAAAAGTAGAAAGATATTAGGAGAGGGAAAGATAGGAGCTGACAATTCTTTAAGAATACTTTTATAAAGTAACAAAAAAACAAAAAAAAAAACCCTGACTCTTTAACAAATTCTAATTCCTGTTTTTTTTTCCAAATTAAATAATCGATTGAAAGGCAAGCATTTTCATTGACAGCAACTAATCATTTTAATGCTGAAATCAACAAATCATTAAGTTGTCTTATAAATGAGTGTTCCTAATAATTTAAAAAGCACTTGCTGAAGTCTACAATGACCTCAGCTGCTATAGAGATTGAAATTTTTTATCTCACTAGATTTGGAGCAGCATTTAACATAACTAAACCATTCTTCTTGAAACACTATTCTTCTCAGCTTCTATGACACTACTCTTCCTACTTTTCTTCCTTCTTCTCTACATTCTCCTACTTGGTTCTCAGTATCTCTTCCTCTACCTAACTCTCAATGATGAGCCCCTCAGAGCTTGGTCCTGGGCCCTTTCTTTTTCACACTCTATGCAAAGGTGATATCATCACAACTATATGTGCTGACAACACCCTATTTTATACAGGCTTATAATCCTTTATCCAAAAACTTTCAGACAAAGTGTGCTTTGAAATTAATTTTTTTTGGATTTTCTTAATAAAGACAACATGGTGTCATTACTACATATTTCATACTACTAGCAGAATCTACAGTGACACCTGTTTATCAAACACATTAATGCTTCTAAAAGAAAATGTGTATGTACTCGTATGAGTGTACATATGTATATGTGTGTATATATGTATGTATATATGTATGTATATGGATATATATGGATATATATATACCCATACACATATATATATTCATATATCCTCAGACTAAATGGGATAAATTTTTAAAAAACTATAAATAACCTCACGTCAGTTCAAGTAAAGTTTTGCTGCCAAATTAGTTACAGAACAAAAAAATTTTAAAACTACTTCTGGTTTTCAGAGTTTTTGGGATTCAGAACTGTGAATAAAGGACTGTGGACATGTATACCTAGCTGACACTACTTCCAGTGGAAGCTGCCCATTTGATGGCTCCACTTAGGCATCTCAGTGCATCTCAAAATTAACATGTTCATGGGGGCAGGGCCAAGGTGGCGGAGTAGTCAAACAGCTTCCTATGTCCCTATTACAACAAAGACGTGAAAAAACAAGTGATTTGATTATATATGAATATCTAGGAGCCCTAAACAAGGCAAAGTTGAGGAATTGGACTGAGTGGTGGGGGGAGAGACAGACGGTTCAGAAGCAGCAAGGAACTGCCTGACCTGACTGGGCGGGAGCCACAGCCCTTCAGCCCCGACCAACTCAGGGTATGCAGTGAGGTGGGGATACAGCTCCGTGTGCTCGCTCAGGAAGCAGTTTCCACGTCGAGAGAGGCCCGGCACAGAGATTCTGCTCGGACACTCCAAACCAGTGAAAGGCAGCATCCAAGTGGCTAAAGATAAGTACATGCATGTGACCTTTCCCAGGGATTTACAAAAAAAAAAGAAAAACCATTTGGGAAATACCTCTCTCCCATTTACCCCCTCCCTCCCTGCTCTGAATGGGGCCCAGCCAGCTTCAGCAATCTGTGAGTCCCCTGCGCTGGAAGTAGATCCCAAAAGGCGCCATGACCCATTCTCCTGGCCTTGGAGAGGGAACAAATTAACAAACAGGGAAAAAATAAGCTACCAGCTCCCCTAAGCCAGGAACTCAGGGTTGGCACAGCTCCTTTGCCTACGCACAGGCATAAGGGGTCCGCAAACTTTGTGCACCTTCCACCCCTCTATAGACTTGAGTGGACCCATCTCACAGCATAAGCCCTCCCTACCACAGTAAAACAGGGTAAACACCTGAAGTCTAACTTCAACTGTTTCAGCTGTGAAGTGGCAGATTTATAACGCTTGACACTGCTCTGCCCTTTAAGCAGGCACCTTATCTGTCTGCATCAGGGGCTTGAGGACTGGTGGCTCCATCCATGCCACCTAGCCACCTGCTACTGGGGTACAAGAATAAGTGGTGCCCCCCAGTCCTTACAAGCGAAAGAGTAGGGTACTCACACTCCAGCTGCAAAACTCACCTACCTACTCGCTGTAGGGAACAGGGACATGCTTTCCTTTCAGACACTCAGGGGCAGTCATCAGCCCCCTGCCTTACTCAGTGCGTGACCCTCTACTGCAGCCAGATACCTGTCCTAAATCAATCATCCATGCCTCTCTAAGACTATAGGGGAGAGTCTGCACCACACACTTGGTGACCAACTGCCTGGACACCTGACCTGAATCCACGCAGGAAAATTTAATGGATTCCTCGGCACACATACTTAGTTACAGACCTAACTACCTGCTGACAGGACGTTACAGCTTCAAAGGAGCCAATAATCAAACTACTGCACAAGAGCAGCCGATTTGGGCATATCAAAACAAAACAAGAAGCTAGAACATGCTAAACAAATATAAAACACAATTATAATAACTTATTGATGGCTTGGAGACAACAGCCAATATAAAATCACATAAAGAGGCAGAACATGATGGCTTCAGGAAGATTTCAAAATAAAAAATCAATAAATTTTCTGACGGA